GCCCGCCCTCCTCCCAGGTCTCCCTGGGCTACCAACCATTCCCCCGCCACGCGGAGCGGGTGCCGTCTCCTCCCTCACGCTGCAGGTCGCATGGCGTGTGACCCCCCCCACCCCACAGGGCATGGTGACCCACAACCCGCTTGGCATCTCCAGTCTGTATATTTTGTATTATAACAATAATATGGGGTAAAAAAAAAAAAAAAGACAATAAAATCTAACCACAATCGCTATGCACACTGCTGTCATGTCTTTGCCTCTGTCAACCGGCGGCGGGGTAGGGGAAATAGGGGCCGCGGGTTGGGAAACAGCAGCTGGGAGCCCTCGCAGGGTGCTGCAGCTCCACACGTGGGTGCTCCGGGAGGCTGCAGGGCGCAAGCTGGGCTGGCTGCCGTCTCGAAGAGCCTGGCCGTGCCACTGATGGCTCTGCAAATACAGCACTGCTGTTGCCCGCAGGCTGCAGGCCTCAGGCTAAGGTGGCCTTATGCTAAATGTGTCAGTCCTCAGGACTGGGGACTGTCGGGTTTGTTGTCAGGTTGTCATGAGAAGCTGCTGTGTGAACCGGGGCTTGGGACCAGGTGTCCCTTGTTAGGCTGCGGCATTTAAGGGTGAGCCAACTGCAAGTGTTCAGCCAGCACCTTGAAGAGGTGGGTCTAGGCGGGGGTTTCAGGGCTGTAAGCTGATGGGTTGTTGCTGGTCTTTGGGGAAAGTACAGCCCAAAGAGCTGGGAAAAATGGCTTGAAGCAAACCAAAGAGGAAAAATACACAGCTAAGTGAGAAAACAGCTGGACGACAAGATGAAGGAGCTGATGTAGCTTAGGACAGTGACATCTGCCAGCATCATGCAGCCTGCAGTCCAGGAAGCAAAAGCTAAATGTGAAGAGCTGCCTAGAGACCCAAACACCTTACAAAAGGATGTGATCTGGATATTGTGGGATTGTTGAAACTGTGAGTCTGCTCTGTTGCAAGGCCTCTGGCTCCTCAAGAATCCTTCTGACCTACTGGCCAACTGCCCAGGCCTGTGTCCAGTGTTACGATATGCATGTGTCTGAGTGTTTCCCCTCTCTTACCCTGCTTCCAGCAGTAAAACCCTATTGTGTATTAGTTCAATTTGGCTGGTTGCTATTTTGGGAAACACCATCTGTGAGCTTGATGAGCCCTCTTGTGGCACAGGGAAGCTACAAGCCACCCCTCAGGGTCCCTCTCCCTAGGGCAAGGGGCAGGAAAAGGACTGGGATGGCAAGGGGAAGAGGGATGCTGAAGGGCTCACTTGACCTCCAAATGCCGCCCTAGCCTTCTCCGGCCAAATAGCTATGTGCAGGGATCGTTGCCTGCAGCCCTGGGACAGGGAGGCTGCTGATCCCTGGTGAGCAAAGAAATCACCTTCTGCTTAGCTCTCTGCTGGGGAAGGAGCTCAGGCAGGGAGGGTTAGATCAGCCCCTCTGCTGGGTTGCATCCCTCTAAGACTGTGGGCTGTCAGGTTTGTTATCAGCTTGCTATAAGAAGCTGCTGTGTGAACCAGAGCTTGGGAGCAGGTGTCCCTTGTTAGCATGTGGCATTTAAGGGTGGAATAAAAGCAGTGGCCTTAAGGTGATGGGTCCAGGCTGAGAACAGGGGCTTTAGGGATGTGAATGAATGGTCAGCTACTGGTTTGTAGAAAAGTGCAGCCTTGTTTTCCTTCAAGCAGTTTTTCCCAGCTCTCAAAGAAGAAAAATTAGTAACTAAGCCAGAAAACAGCTGAGCAACAGGATAAGGCTGTTAATGCAGCCTGGGGCAGTGACTTGCTCCAGCATCATGCTGTCCAAAGCCTGAACGCTGCTAGAAACATAAATGTTGTATAAAAGGATGAGATCCAAATACCAGGGGAACTATCGCTGCAAGATTATTGTGGGATTGTCAAAGCTGTGAGTGCAATACCTGCATCAATGACCCTTCTGACCTACGACCTGCCAGTTGTGCAGGTCTGTGTATGGTTGTGTGTGTGTGTGTGTGTATTGTGCAGGTCTGTGTATGGTAGTGTGTGTGTGTGTTTGTTTTTTTCCACCCAAATTCTTCGTGTTTCTCCTCTCTAACCCTTCAATAAAGCCTTGTTGCATGCTAATACCATCTGGCTAGTTAGGGTGACAGTAAAATCATTTTTTTTGCTGTTTGAAAACGTTAGATTGGACATAATGGTAACTAGAAATGCTCTGGGGCCAGGGTCTTTGCTGCAGTTTCCTGAGTATGGATACAGATGGATACAGAAATACAGTTGTCTTGTTTGTCCCACAGCGCCGAAATGTTATTAGCAGAAATAAGCCATGCAAGGGAGGATTTGGGGAGAGCTGAGAGTGAAGCAGGTAGCAGTGAATGGGAGTGTGACAGTGAGGACATGCTGTTAAGTGGCGTTTTCATTCATTTTGTTCAGTCTGGGTCAAAACGTGACTAGGCTGCTGTGATGTCTGCAGCCTTCTCTAGTCCCTCCTCACAGGTTGGGGTTTCCACTGTTTTGCCCATCACTCACCAGTTTGTTGCTGGGTGGTACCCAAGTTGGCCTCCCTAGCTGGGAGGATTACCTCATTTGCCCCTCCGGCTGACACTCCTGTTTATGTAGCCTCACAGGATGTCTTCTCCACAGCCCTCTGGCCTCTGACTCATGCTCTGTCTGAGACCCATCTCCCCTGGCCCCTCTCTGCAGCTGCACGTGGTCCCATCTGGCGCTCGGCATAAGCTCCAGGCCTGTCTCTGGAGAGACGCAGTCTGATTTCAAGCCCCTTTTCTGATTTACTGAGATGATCTCAGCTTCACAGCTTATCCTTTAGCGTCCTTGTAGCCCCTTCCAGGTCTGGCAACATCCAGCCCCAAAAAGCGCCTGCTCACCACAGCCTTGTTTTGACAGCAAAACTCCTGGCAGCGTTGCCTCTGCGCCGTAGCTCCTTGTGAGAACGGCAGAGGAGACAAGGCCAGAGATTTACTGGCGTCTACCCTGCTTGCCTCCCTGAGAGCTCGTTGCGCTGACAAAGAAGGAAGTCTGGCTGGCTCGGCGTGATTTATTCCTGGCTGTTCCTCCCTTTATCTTAACTGTCTGACACGTGCTTGTTCTGCTGCCTGTGGGAAGGAAGGCAACATCACACTGTGAAAATGTCTATCGCCCAACAGGTATTTCACAGCCTCAGTCCACCCTCCCCTCCCTGCCCTAGAGAGGGGGAGTGCAATATTCAGCCCCTGCACAGTTTTCAAGGCCAAGCTGCATTTGCTGAGCTCGGTGGGGCCACCCGCTAAAAGGGGGTGAGCAGCTGAACAGGCTTTCTCTGGGCTCTCTGCTCTGCTTGTGCGTTCAGGGTCAGGTTTCCAGCTGAGCCTCTGCCCAAGTGTGATGGGACAAGGAAGGACGGCATGTTGGCTCAGGCAGCAGCCAGAGCGGGGAGGCATCCGAATGCCCAAGGTGCTGGACGCTGGCTCC